TTCACCTGCTGGGCTCCGGCAATCCTTCCACCTCAGCCTTCCAAGCAGCTGGAACTACGGCGCGTGCTACCACGCCCGGCTAATTTTTGATTTATTGTGGAGATGAGGTCTCGCCAAGTTGCCCAAGCGGGTCTCAAACCCGCGGGCTCAGGCAATCCACTCACCTCAGCCTCCCAAAGGTGCGGGATTACAGGCTGAGCCACCGAGCCCGGCTGAATGACCATTTTTTAAAAAATAAACTTCTTCCATGCCCATTTCCTGGCTTCTGATCTTGATCTTCTGACCCTCAGGCTAGTATCCTCTCTATAAGTAAATCCCTTATAGTCAGTTTCCTTCCACAAAGGCTCCTGAAGATCATGGATCCATATATGAGTATACTTGTCTTTACAGGTGAAGACTTTTCTGTTCTTCTTTGTAGGATGAAGGCCAGGGCTGTGGGCCTGAGCAATACAGCCCAGCTTTAGTTGTATTCCTGCTGTAGCCACTTGATGAAGGTAGTCCCTCATATTTTCCAGATCATGTGACCTTCTAAGGGTGTAGCTGAGGCTGGTTAATTGGTAAGAAGTAGAGATGTGTGAACTCAGTGGGGAGAATGGACACCAGCTCTGCCCTCTCACATACACTCATACAAAGGATTTACTTCTGAAACCCCGTAGACTTGGAAGAAAGCCTTTTGCCCTATAATTAGGAAGGGAATAGTGTACAATACCCCCGAGGGATGCATCACATTGTGTTTAAATTCACACTACAATAATGTGACTACTACTAAGTTATTTCCTGGGTTTTTTAATTAGATATGGGAGGATGGCCTCCCCATCCCTTGTCTAGCCCTAGAGACCCCTAATCACCATGGCTTCATTTGGGAGATGATAGTTTCTGAGACAAGGGAAGTATGGTCTGACTTTCTAAAGCCCCAGGGGGTATTGGGGTGGAAGAGTGTAATTAGACACCTTAAAAAGGCAAAAAGAACTCAGCCTGTAATCCCGCGCCTTTGGGAGGCTGAGGTGAGTGGATTGCCTGAGCCTGCGGGTTCGAGACCCGCCTGGGCAGCAAGACCTCATCTCTACAATAAAGTCAAAAACTTAGCCGGGCGTGGTAGCGCACGCCTGTAATTCCGGCTCCTCGAAAGGCTGAGGCGGAGGGATCGCCGGAGCCCAGCAGGTCGAGGCTGCGGTGGCCGGGAGCGGCCACTGCACTCCAGTCTGGGCGACAGAGTGAGACTCCAACTCAAAAAAAAAAAAAAAGAGGCAAAAAGAAGATGTGAATTTCAGAAATGTGGCAAATTAAATTTTAGTTTTGAAATGCTGGATTGTCAAAGCAGACAGAGAACTCAGAAAACCATCTAGACCAAGACTCATTTTAAGATGAGGAAACTGAGGCACCAAGAACAGATATGACTTGCCCAGATTCAGACCATCAGTGAGTAGCAGAAACAGACTTTAGGATCCAATGTTCCTGAGTCTTCTTCTTTCATATATTCCATAATTATTATAATAAATGAAGTTCTGCAAAAACTGTCCTTAAAAATAAGCAAAGAACAAAGGAAAAAACAATGGAGTAGAAGGCCCAAACCAAAATGTCCAAGGTCCTCAGATTCTTCACTGAGCTGATTGTAAACGTCCCTCTTCTATCTCTGGCTTCCAGAGGGAGACAGAGGGTGAGGATTCCTTTCACAGCTCTTCATGAGGGATAAGGAACTCCCTCAACCCCCTTAAGTCATTCATCTCAGATCGTTGGGTCCTTGCCCATGCTGTCCTTTTCCCATACTATATCTCCATGTCAAAATCCCACCATACTTCGAAAGCAGTCTAGGTGCCTCATATTTTATGAACCTTTTCTTGATTCCTCTTTTCCAACATCTCCTCCAAATATAAATGATCTTTACTTTTGTAATGTCCAGGGTACATTTCTAATCTCTCTCATGATGTTTATTAACCTTATTCCTTGTATTATAACTATTTATTATTGCTTCTCTTGTCTCTCCTATTAGTCCTTGACAGAGGAGACCTTTAGCCAACTTTGGATCCCTCTGCAGTTCCTTCAATACACTAGGTGATCAAATAAAGTTTGTTGAATTGAAGTGGTATAGAAAATAACCCACATCTTTTTGCTATAAGTTCACCCTCTGTCTTCTTCAGTAGCAACAGAAGGTAGCAATGACCTTGGCTTCAGTGTCCACCCACTCACTCTATTTCTTCCCTTTCCCACCAGGAAGTAAATACAGCCAGTGACTCCAAATCAGGTGCTTTATTCAGGTGGAATCTGTGCTGTAGTAAAAGTGCCATTGGAAGGCAATGAGCAAAGGTTTAGTGTCCAGTGCACCAGTCGGGTATCCCTGGAGAACAATCTTGAAGAGTCCATTGATGTCACTGCAGGACCCAGGGCTCAGAAACAAATCAGCTTTAGAAAGGGAAGTAGAAAGAAGCACACTGAGAGAGCATTAGGGAAGAGGCATTCCAGGGATGTGGAGAGGGCTGAAGCAGCAAGGATAGCTCACAACTCCTCGCAGCGCCACTGTTCCAGATTCTCAGAGCAGAGTGCTTCATGGGCCAACCTGATGATAGAGAAAAAGACAAGAGGAGTTGGATGGCTGGATATTAACTTGAATTTCCATCTAGCTTCATCCCAAGGAGGGCTGAGGTGGAAGAGTATGAATGAGAATTACAGAAAGACTTTCCTCGCCAGATGGAAAGGGACATGAAGCTATCTAGTGTGGTAGGGTCCATAAAAATCCAATAAAGTTGTAGAGCTATAAAAGGTGTGTGATGATACCAAGAGCTTGCCTAGGACTGAACAGATGGTATTAGATATCTAAGTCCATGTGAAAGGAAGCCTGAGACTCAGCCCTCCACTAGAGAACCTCATATTAGGAAAGATGCCCCACGGGAGTGGAGCAAGGAAGGCTTAAACATGGAAACCTGAGTCTACTAGATGAGTTTTGGGCTGGAGATATATTCTAGTTAAAAGACCAGGAGACAGAGAAAGGGAGAAATAGTCTGGGCTAATGGGGTAAGAGGAAAAAGGGAAGGGGAATAAGAAAATAGAACGAGGATTCACCAGTAGTCAATTCCCTTAATATCCAGAATCTTCTTGGCACATGCTATGTCATCAGTAAGTTCACCATCCAGGAACTCTGGAAGCAGTTACAAGGAAAAGAAGGAGAAAACAAAGAAGTATTATCCCGAAAAGTAATAGGTTCTATATTCCCTGGATCCAGTACATGGGGTTGTTCTCTGAATTCAAAACTTATGCCCCTTGTCTTTCTTTCTTTTTTATTTTTTTGTCACCCAGGCTAGAGTGCAGAGGCATGCTCATGGCTTACCACAGCCTTCACCCCTTGCGCTCAGGCAATCCTTCTGTCTCAGATTTCCAAATAGCTGGAACTACAGGCACGTGCCACCATGCCCAGCTGATTGGTTTTTGTTTTTGTTTTTTTTGTAGAGACGAGGTCTCGCCATGCTGCCTAGACTGTTCTCAAATTCCTGGACTCAAGCAATCCTCCTGTCTCAGTCTCCCAAAAAACTGGAATTGCAGTTGTGAGGCACCGTGCCTGGCCCTGTTGTCTTTCTATATTAAAGGACCAGTACAATAATGGTTCTCCCTAGACAGGGACTTCCTTTACTTCCTTGAAAAATCTGTGAAGGAATCATCAACTTCATTAACTGACTTACCCTGAAAATGCAGAGAATCAGACTTTAAGACTACTAGGCAGCTCAGACTGTCTACCCCAGAACTTCAGAAGACTGTCAGAGAATTGGTAATCATGAAAAATTCAAACTACTTCTTCCTCAACACTGTCAATTTTTGTGGAATCCAGCCAAGACAGTGAAATCTGAGGTCTGCTTGATACCAAAAAGGAGATTATCCCAGGGGCAGGCTCCAGAAAACCAGAGGAACAGGATTATAGAGACTACTCACTATCACAGGAGATGTCACAGATGTTTTCTGACTGAGGAATCTGGTCGCTTCTGCACCAAAGTTTATTACTGATCTGGAAGAGTCCATATTCTGTGCTTTCATTGTTTTTGACTATGGCTTGTGTGTCATAACCACTGGTGTGAAATATGGTACAGACCACTGAGGGAAAGATGAGAGAGAGGTAATCACATAGATGACCAAGATCAGCATAAATGAAGAATATAGTTCCCAGACAGAAAATGCTTTCCAGCCCATCTCCAAAGATAGCAAAGCACAGAATATCTTGATGAGAGGAGATGGAGCATTCCCAAAGGAATCAGACAATAGGAGAAAGGAAGGATAGAAAAACAAATGGAATAAAAGCATGCACAGATAAGCAGAAAAGATAAGAAAATGATTAGATAATCAAGTGGAGTAGAGGAGAGAAAGGGAGCAAAAGAAGAAGCAGATGAAGAACACCAAGAAAAGAACAGATGAAGGAATGGAACGAAACAAAAGAGCAGGGAACTCACATTCAGGCAAAGGGATGCCTCTATAGTTGTCCATTTCTTTCAGCAACCGGGACACTTCACATGTTGTCAATTGTTCAGCCTGGATGGCAGGGAACAGGATGCCCACCAGGAACAGAGAGACAAAGGACATCATTTTGGCTGCCCCAAGAATCTGAACTAAGGGCACCACTCAGCTTCACCTCTTTTTATTCATGCAGAAAGCCTCAGGGGACTGGCACCAAGTCCCACTTCCAGGAAGATGATGAAGACAGACTGGTGATGCCAAGACAGAAACACTGAGCCTGCCAGCTTTCTTCCATAATTCACCCTACTTCTCCTTCCCTTCCCTGAATATTTAGTTCATACCAGGTATTGTTCTCTGCCTAGAAAGATTTCAAAGCATGATCCTATTTCCTATTTAGCTTTATTTATCTCTTTGTTTCTTATAAAATGGGTTCTGGGAATCAGAGTGTCCCCAACTACTTCAGGAACAAAGAAGGCCTCAGGGGCAACGTAAGTGAGGCAACCAGAAAATACAATAAGAGTCCATAGCCTAGAGACATACAGATGTGAAAAGGGGGTGTATGTCATCCCATGCCACATCCCAGGATCAGAGCGGGTATCTGTCCAGCCAACCCAGTCATGGAACAAAACCTAGAAAGAGTTCCTTGATATGGTGGTTCATGGTTGAGGGCTTGGAGATCGGGATAGACTATGGGAACATAGACTATGATAACTTGGATCCTGAGCCTTCCTACTTTAGGAAAAGGGGTAACTTGAAAAGCATATATGAAAGTATCTAGCTATCCTATGAGCTATTATCAGGTTTCCCACCCCCAGTCACCCCTACCATAAATAACCAGATACTGCACTGGCATTAAGACATTATGTACATCCAAGGCTAATCACTTGTAACACATTTGTTCATATTTGTAGACAGTCTCAGAGTTGGTTACAAAAAATTAAAAAGACCCAAGCCGGTGAGAAGACTGAACTTTAATCAATTTAAGATTGGGTAAGCATATGAGCATGTACATGGAACCTGCAAAACAAAGTTTTTATTCCTAGTTATAAGATTAGTGCCCCTGAGCAAGTAGAGATGAGAGTACTAGTTTGAAATAATTCCTTTAATTTGCTGGCATCAAGCTTCATATCATGGTGCTGGTGGCTGTTGGCCTCCTTCATGCCAAGGCTTCTTATCTTTATCCTAATCTCTAGACCCTATTTGTTGTATTTTAGGGGGTATTCATTTCAACCAAACTATTTCAGACTTACAAACTGAATTTATTCTATACTGCTGTATCCTACATGTCTTCAGAGTCAGGGGAAGTGCCTCTCAGTTCATGCCTGTCTTCTATATCATGGATAACCAGTATATGAAGTGAAACTAGTATGGAGGATATTGCTGTGCCAAGACAGAGGAGCAGAAAATCCCAATAGCAAAGAGAAACATGTTCAGAAACACAACAAAAGTGTTACCACTGCATTTCTCTTAATTTCACCCACAGGCATTGAAAAGGTATACTACAGAAATAAGAGTTCTATCACACTAAGCATGTTTTGTTGAAGCTATGTCTAGGTGTGGAAGGATGTCCTTGAACCACATGGAAAGGGACAGAAGAAAAACTAGTCACCGGTTGCGATGGCTCTTGCCTCTAATCCCAGCACTTTGGGAGGCAGAGGTGAGAGGATTGCCTGAGTCCAGGGGTTCGAGACCAGCCTGGGCAACTTAGCACGACCTTGTCTCTACAATAAATCAAAAAAGTAGCTGGGTGTAGTGGCACGCACCTGTGGTTCCAGCTACTTGAAAGGCTGAGATGGAAGGATCGCCTGAGCCCAGCAGGTCGAGGTATGCCACTGCAGTTCAGCCTGGGTGATACAGTGAGATGAAAGGAAGGAAGGAAGAAAGGAAGGAAGGAAGGAAGGAAGGAAGGAAGGAAGGAAGGAAGGAAGGAAGGAAGGAAAACTAGTCCAATGGGACTCGAAAGAAAGAAAGAAAGAAAGAAAGAAAGAAAGAAAGAAAGAAAGAAAGAAAGAAAGAAAGAAAGAAAGAAAGAAAGAAAAAGAGGAAAACTAGTCCTAAGGACCAGTCTTTCCAACAGTAGAGTCTTGGTAAAATGCTTCCTGCCCTGGGCTATGGACTAAGTACCTATGATAGAGTAAAATGGTGGTCCAAGGTTTCAGGAATCACAGGGGCTTTCTACACTTACAACCAAATCAAGACCTAAGGCAGCAGCCTGTTTGCCTATAATTTGATCATAACTCTGTCCTTCCCTGTAAGCAATAAAAATCAGCATACAAGTCAGGAATCACAATTAAGTACAGAAAAGAAGATAAATATGCCTCAGGCAAGAAGAATCATCATTTTCCTAGAAATGTTTGTAAAATAAGGTGTCTGGGGGCCATCTAAAAAAGAGAATAGAAAGTGCCTAATGGGAATAATTGCATACATTCAGAGAAAGATGTCAACTCTTGAAGACGGTCCAAAGGAGAACAACAAACAATGATCACAGCACTGAAAGAGTGAGTATATGAAAACACATAAGCACAGCTAGCAGAGGAAAGCTTCTGCCAAAATCTCCCTTTTCAGAGAGGCTTAGTCAGGGTGCTTTGTGTGGAGGGTGAGACCTGACTCAAGATGGTGAAGAGACAAGTACAACACACTTTCCTTGATTTTTTCAGAAACATACTAGAAAACTTATGTTCATTTTCTTTTTTTTTCTCTTTTCTGCTCTAGAGTAGTTTTGTTTTGTTTTGTTTCTGTTTCTGTTTTATTTTAAAGATGTGGGGTACAATTATGAGTTAGGTATACAAAGGTCCATTATGCAGGTACCCTTGTTGATGAGGTGTGTCCCTCCCTCCCCTGGCAGTTTCCCTCAGCTACCAACCCCACCCCACCCTCCCCTGGCAGCTTCCCATTACTGCCAATCCCTTTCTTTCTTTATTTTTTATAATCAATAGTTATTATGATATTGTTGGGTACAGTTAAGGGTTAGGTATACAAATATGCTTCATTCAGGCACCCTTGTTGATAAGAGGTGTCTCCCCGTCCCCAGACAGATATTTACTACCGTTAATCCCATCTCCCTTCCCCTCCCCCTATCCCTTTCTTATAGCATTATGATAATTGTTCAAGATTCGCTTATGATTGAGAACATATGGTACTCTGTTCTTTGTTTCTGTGATAGATCACTGAGTATAATAGACCCTAAATCCATCCAAGTTGCTGCAAAGTGTTCATTCTCTTAAATGTTGTGGTAAAAACCAAGATTTCTAAAACCAGGAATCATCTTTTTTGGAGGACTTCTGAAAATCAAGGAATCAGAGCATCTGCTTTAAAGTATATTTGCCAGCTGGGCTCGGTGGCTCAGCCTGTAATCTCGCATTTTGGGAGGCTGAGGTGAGTGAATTGCCCGAGCCTGCGGGTTCAAGACCCTCCTGGGCAATTTGGCAAGACCTCATCTCTACAATAAAACAAAAAATTAGCCAGGCATGGTAGTGCGTGCCTGTAGTTCCAGCTACTTGGAAGGCTGAGGCGGGAGGATCGCCAGAGCCCAGCAGGACGAGGCTGCGGTGGCCCGGAGCAGCCACTGCACTCCAGTCTGGGCGATGGAGTGAGACTCCAACTAAAAAAAAAAAAAAAAAA